AGATGCTGTCTCAGAATAAAACATTTTTTTAAAAGGGCTGACAATGGACAATGTAATTCAGTGCAAAAGCCCTGAATTTGATCCTCAGTACAAAAGAAGGAAAAAAATTTACTGTACTTTTTTTTTTTTTTTTTTTTTAGGTACTGGGGATTGAACTCAGGCCCTTGCACTTGCCAGGCAAGCACTTATTCTACTGAGCTATCTCCCCAGCCCCCTACCGTACATTTTTGACAAACTCTTTGAAGTAGGCATAAGCTACCAATCTGTATAGATTTTCCTGCTATAAAAATCCATAAGATGGGTTTGGTAGCACATGCCTATAACCCCAGCACTTGGGAAGCGGAGGCAGGAGGATTGCTGTGAGTTGGAGGCCAGCCTGGGCTACATGAGTTCAAGGCCAGCCTGAACTGCATATTGAGACCCTGTCTAAAACAATAATAATAATCCGTAAAACTTCTAGAAGTATCCTGAATGAAAATTACCCTGACCTAGTGCCAGAACTGTGCTGGCACCCAAAGGAAACTACAGGCCGTCAGCAGTGACACTGTGCACCCACTCCCAGCTCTCGGCGCACTGACTTCCCCATGTGTCTACATGAATTTGTCCATTTGGACCCTGCATAGAAACAGAGAGGCGGGGCCACGGTTCGATCCCCCAGCACCACATGCCAGCCAGTCCCGCCCCCTGGTGGGCTGAGCTGGCCACACACACAATAAATAAATGTATAAATAAATAATTTAAAAAAAGAAAAAAAGAGAGAGAGAGAGAGGCACAGTACGCAGCCCTGTGCTTCATCCTGCTCCCTTGGCATCACGTTTCCAAAGCCCACATGGGAGCATGTCCTTGTGCTTCATTCCTTTTTCTTTCTTTTTTTCTGCTAGTGACTGAACCCAGCCCTCACACACATTAGGAAAGCGCATTACCACAGAGCTGCATCTTAGCTTTCTGTCCCCGAGTACTGGGGTTCAACATGCGACCTTTGTCCTGAGCTACATCCCCAGCCCTCCTCCCTTTCCGACAAGGTCTTGCTATGTGGCCCGGGCTGGTCTGGAACTCACGGTCTTGCGGCCTCGTCTCCCAAGTGCTGGTTATAAGCAGGGACCACTACGCTTAGACTTTGTTTCTTCTGGTCCCTGAATGATATTCACTAAGCAGTCATTCACTGAGGGCTTGTGGGTGTGTGGGGGCCTCTGTCATGGTGACAGGATACCCTCGGGCACCCGCTGAAGGAGAAAAGGCCTGTGCTAGCTGCTCGCCTCATGGCGGACAGGAAACTGAGCCTTGGAGCCTGGAAGTGGATCCATCCAATAGTCGTGATTCCATCGCCGCCCAGCGGCTCCCAAGCACTCCTCTGGCAGCCAGAACCAAGCATCCGACCCTGGAGATCCAGGGGCCATTCAGGCTCTGAATCATAACGGGGCTGCTTCTCCCTTTTGGCTTCTGTGAGCAGGGCTGTCATGAGCACTGCCCTAGAAGTTCTCGCGGATCGCTCGCCGCCAACTCTGCGGATGAGCACCAGGAGGGCGCTGCTGACCAGCGGCGGCTCTGGTGGACTTCCTCAGCCGCCGCAGGCGTGTCCCCGCGGTGCCATCCCCCTGCACTTCCGTCAGCCACGGGCACATGGCTCCGATTCTTCACCAACTGTTAATGGTTTGTGCCTGGAAGGCCTTTTCTGAGGTGGGAACAGGTAGGTTACTGGGCACAGACCTTAGAGGGCTGCGTTTTGTCCCCGTCCCTTCTTCTTCTTCCTGTCTCTCCCTCTGTCCTTCCTGGCCCCCATTAGGAATTCAGTTTCGCTCTGCTGTTTCCTCTGGTCACAGTATTGTGCCTCAGGACAGGCTGAGAAGCAATGGAACCAGCCAGTCATGGGCTGAATCCACGGAAACTGCGAGCCACAACAGCTGTCTTCCCTTTAAATGGATTGTCTCAGATACTTAGTCACAGTGTGCAAAGATTAACACATCAGCTTGTTGGATTGATTGAGTGATTGTGGTACTGGAGAATGAACCTGGGGGTGAAAGGAGCCACATCCATTGCACATGCATGCGCGTGCGTACACACACACACACACACACACACACACACACACACTTTCTTTTCCCAAGATATAGTCTCTCTAAGTAGCTAAGCAGTCTGGGTTGGACTTAAACTTGATTTCCTCCCAGCTCAACCAATCAGAGTCTGGGATTGCAGCCATCCACCACCATGCCCACTTGAATCTTACATTTTAATAGAAAATGCAAACAAAACAAGAGATGCCCAGCAGCTGATCCTGCCTCAGAAAGTCCTGAAGACAGCAGTGGGCTGAGCACCTGGTGCCAGGCACTGGCGACACTAGACTGGTTCCTGTCTGACCTCTATGTGTTCATAGTTCGTGACAAAGCCCACATACGTGCCTCTGTCTAGCTTAGCGTATAAGCTCCTTCCTCTTGTCTCTAATCTAGACATCCTGTGTTGCTGCTGGCCAAGATGGGTTTCTATCTCTTCTGTCCATTAAGTTCTTAATAAATTGAATTCTTTGTTTAAAAAAAGAGAGAATGTGTCAATTGTTTTAATTTTTTTTTTTCCTCACAAGGGAGGGTATTCTGCTGAGCAATTCCCTACACTTCAGGTAATTTTATAAAAAATGTAAAAGTTCTAGGGCAGTGAGATAACTCAGAGGACTCAGCGCTTGCTTTGGCAAGTGCAGCGATGAGGATTGGATATCTGTTCTGTGCTGCACCAGCCTCGCCCCCGGGGTGCGCTGAGCCGGGCAAGTGAGCCCAGGCATGGTGGCGCACACCTGTAATCCCAGTGCTGGGGAGGCTGAAAACAGGAGGATCACTAGGAGTCCGAGCTGCGCAGTGAGACCCTGTACCAAATATATGAATAAAAAAAATTGTAAAAAGTTCTAACCTAGATATGATGGCACAAATCTATAATCTCAGAACAATGGCAAACAGAGACAAGGGGATCAAAATCGAGCGCAGCAAGGTCAATTTTGTGAGGCACTGTCTATAAGTAAAGCTTGGGATGTACCTCAGTGTGAGTACCACGGGGATCGAGCCCCAGTAACACCAAACTAAGCATACAGAGAGATTAGAGTGCTAGCTTTTCAGTGCCCTTCAAAACCTACTCCTCACACTTTGTGCTTTTGTACTGAGAAAAAGGGCTCATACTGGAACATGAATGCAAAGGCCCATAACCTGAATGGGTTCCTCAGTATAATGCAGAGGTAGCTGACAGCGGGGGAAAACATCTACATTCACTGAAAATTAGGACCTCACAGATTTCGAACAAAGGTGAATTGTAGCAATAACATCCACTGCGGTTTATGTCTTGATCTATCCTTAAATATATTTTCCCATTAACGTCAGCAACGGGAGTTCTGGTCACATATAGAATTGCTGAAAACACATCAAAAGAAAATCAGCACAATCATAACTTTTACTTTTGTGAAATAAAACATTTATATAACTTGTAAATTGATATTGGAATGAGCTGCATTCTGAAACTCCTGAGTTACATGAAAGAGTAATATTTACTGTCGTCCTTGTTCTTGCTGGTAGTGGACTCCGTGATCCGGCTCCGGGATTCCTCCAAAATGGCTTTCTTTCTGGCGAAGGCCTGCATTTCTTCCTCCAGCGCTCGCCTCTTGTCTTGGAGTTTCAGGGTCTCTCTGTGCTGGACGCGCTCCAGCTGCTCAAACCGGGCCTGCAGCTGCTTCTCGGCCTGCTTCAGGACGGCCTCCTTCTCCCTCACCCGCCTGGCAAACGCCTGCTTCAGCTCGGCCTCCTGCCTGCGCCAGGCCTCGCGCAACTCGCGCCTGTGGGCCTCGGACACGTCTGCCCCCGCCGCCTCCGCGGGCCCCGGCGGCGCGCTCCCCGGGCACGGGTCGGCCCAGCCCAGCTCCCGCAGCCGGCGGCGCCTGTACTGCTCATAGTGCCGCGCGTGCGTCTGCTCGCGCAGGTCCTCCATGTTGGTGCACACCAGCATCTCCCGCAGCTTCACGAAGTCGCAGTGCTCCTCGTTCTCCACCTCCACCAAGCCCCAGCTGTACTGGCGCGCGCGCACCCACCTGCCGCCCACGCACACCTCGTCGGTGCTGCCCACCACGGCGAAGGGCAGCTGCGCGTTCATGGCGGCGTTGAGCGCGGCCGTGGCCTGGTCGTCGGTCGGGAAGCGGTACAGGTGCACGCCCTGGCGCGCCAGCTCGGCCATCACGCGCGCCTTGAAGCTCTGCAGCTCGGGCCGGGACAGCGTGTCGGCCTTGGCGACCAGCGGGATGACGTTCACGCGGCTGCCCAGGCTGCGCAGCGCGCACAGGTCCAGCGCCTTGAGCGAGTGGCCCGTGGGCGCCAGGAAGTAGAGGCACGCGTGCAGCCGCGAGTCGGGGCGCGGGGCGGGCGCGCGCGGCACGCGCAGCTCCTCCTGCAGGAAGGCCTCGAACTGCGCGTCGATGTAGGCGGCGATGGACCGGTGGCTGTCCTCCCGGTTCATCTGGTCCCCGAAGCCCACGGTGCTCACCACGGTCAGCGTCAGCGACACGTGGCTCTCGCGCAGCTCGCGCGTCTCGGCGCGCAGCCCGGTGGCCGGGCAGAAGTGCGAGGCCTGCGCGCCGTCGGGGCGGCAGTTGAAGAGCGTGGCCACCAGCGTGGACTTGCCCAGGCCGGTCTCCCCCACGCACA